CTTGTTCTCCCGTACTTCTCTTGGCTAGGGTGGTTCGAAACCGTACATGCCGCCCCCATGCTGGGATCAGCATAATCACCAAACCGTACTGAGGTGGTGTTTTCGGTTTCATTGAGCAACGAAAACACCAAAGGAAACTTCTGGGATTCAACTCCAATACGCATTGAGGAGGGCTGAAGAAAGCGTGCTAGGTGCTATTTGGTGCATGAGTATGAACAAATTATTACTTGTCTTGAGTGCATGAGGATATTGGTAAGAGGCAAAGCTTTGAGACAGACCGTTTGTAGATGCCGTTTTGGGTACGAATAGTTACTACTCTGACTAAGTTATCTGGACCTGGATGAAGCTCTATGACGCGTCCCATTACCCACACGTTGGGTGGTAGCCTTTCATCCTTAACGATGACGAGGTCATTTATTTGAAGATTTCGTCTTTGGTGACACCATTTTGGTCGTGTTTGGAGGTGTGATAGCCAATCTGATGTCCACTGCTTCCAAAATTGTTGAAACATTCGTTGCGTTTGAGCAAATTGTTGGCTGAGTGATACATTAGCCGCTGGAGAGGCGTTTGGTGGCGAAAGCAGAGAGTCTCCTATTAGGAAATGCCCCGGTGTCAGCACTTGTAATTCGTTGGGATCTGATGTTAAAGAGCACAGCGGTCTGGAGTTTAAACAGGCTTCGATACGCGCCAAAAGGGTGCAAGGGCTTCGTAGGTAAGCCTAGCACCGCTCACTGTTCGCTTTAAATGATACTTAACCGATTTTACATTCGCCTCCCAAAGTCCTCCGAAATTAGGTGAATGGGGAGGATTGAAGTGCCACTGTATACCTTGGCTTGCTAATTTCGGCACGACTTCTTGCTCTATGTCCTCCGCAAATTTACGTTCATTTGGTTGAAGTACCTTGTCAACGCCTATAAAATTTGTTCCGCAATCGCTGTAGATGTCTTTGCACATACCTCGACGTCCAATGAATCGTTGCAGGGCCATCAAGAAGTTTTCCGTTGACATGCCTGTGACTGCTTCCAGATGAATGCACTTTGTAGCTAAAGAAATGAAAATAGCGATGTACCCTTTGTATGTCGTATTTCCACGAAATCTATACGATTTTAGCTCGATTGCGCCGGTGTAATCGACGCCTGTTGCGAGGAACGGACGTTGTGGTGGATTGACTCGATGGAATGGAAGTTCGCCCATCAGTTGACTACCAACTTCCGGCTTATTTCTAACACATTTAATGCATTTTCGAAGTTGTTCTTGCACAGTGCGTCTGGCATTTATTATCCAAAACCGCTGTCGTAAATATGTTAAGGTAAGCTGCGCACCACCATGTAATGTCGTTAAGTGCGCGTGAGTGATAACCAAACTAGTGAAATGATGCTTACTTGGTAAAATGATGGGGTGCTTCTGATCAAATGGAAGATTAGAGCGCTGAATTCGCCCACGCACACGAAGAATTTGCTGCTCATCAAGAAACGGAGTTAAGCTAGTAAGCTTGCTTCTATGTGGAACAGGCTTTTTATTGCGAACGTTGTGTACTTCGGTGTTGAATGTTTCTTGTTGTACGAGCCTGGCAACCCCTGATAGACTTTGGTTTAGCTCGGTGACCGACAAGGGTCCACTTATGCGGGCACAGCTCTGAACTTGGCTATTCTGCACGAAACGGAGAATGTACGCACAAACGCGTACGGTTTTCGTTAGCGACGAGTACCGAAGAATAACGGAGTCTTGACAAATCGTGAAATTTGCTTGAAGCGGCTTCCTTTTAACTTCAGCTATTTCTTCGTTGATGTGCAATTCAGTCGTGCTAAATTTCGGCCAGGAGTCTTCATCTGACAGCAACCACTCTGGGCCGGACCACCATAGCCTGAAAGTTGATAAACTGACTGGTGTTAGGCCTCGGGTGCGCAATCAGCAGGATTTTGCATAGTATCGACGTGACTCCATTGTGACGGTGAAGAGGTTTGTAGTATCTTGCCAACTCGGTTTGAAACCCATGTTTGTCATCGATTCGGATCGCCATATATCCAGTAAAGCACAATCGTAGCATCGGTCCAATAAAATGTTTTTAGATTTGTATACGGTAATGACAATGATTTTTTGGTCCATTCCATTAATTCAGTCGCCAGCACTGCTCCGCACAACTCGACGCGTGGTATAGTCAACGGTTTTGTCGGGGTGACTCTGCTTTTTGCGATGAGAAGCGTTGTAAAAATTTTATCATCACTGCTTTCTACCCGTAGATAAACACATGCTGCATATGCAGCTGTCGAGCCATCGCAAAATACATGGAGTTGTAATGATTTAACATGATTTGGCTCATAGTTCAACCATCTCGGCACTGTGATGCAGGGCAGCTCCGATACAGTATTTAGAAAACGTTGCCATTGGTGATTTAGATTTGTTGGTAGCGTTTCATCCCATGCCAATGGTGTGAACGTGTGCTCATCGCGTTGTACCTTAAAGGACCATACCGATTTCAGGATGATTTTGGCTGCTACAATAACCGGTGCAATTAATCCCAGTGGGTCGTACAGACGAGCTATAGTTGAGAGCACTGACCGTTTGGTGGCAGTAAAATCAATTTCGAAGTTGAGCCGGAATTTAAAAACGTCCTTGTTCGGTTGCCACAGAATGCCAAGGGTTTTAACGGTATCGCTGCTATTTAACTGTAAGGCATTACTGTCTGACCTGTTTTCGGTGGGAATACCGTCCAGCACCGCCGATGAGTTGCTGCTCCATTTTCGAAGTTCCATGCCAGCGGAGCGCAATGCTAAGGTTACTTGTTTGCGAATTTCGGTGGCGATCTCAACGGAGTGACCGCCAGATAGTACGTCGTCAACATACATTTCATTCCGAAGGACAGGTGCTGCTAACGGATACGATGTACTTTCGTCTTCAGCCAGTTGGCGGAGGATTCGTATCGCGGTATATGGAGCGGAAGCAGTCCCAAATGTGACTGGTGTGAGACAATACTCCTGAATTTCATTTGCTTCGTTTCGCCACAAAATGCGTTGATATTGCGAGTCATCTGTGTGCATGTCTATGCACCGATAAATTTTTTGGATATCAGATGTAAACGCAAATTTGTGTTTTCTCCAATTTAAAACTACTGCTGGCAGATCATTTTGAAGTGCGGGTCCCACACACAGTACGTCATTTAACGATTTGCCATTGCTAGTCTTGCACGAGGCGTCAAACACGATTCTTAGCTTTGTGGTTAGACTTTGCTCTTTGATCACAGCGTGGTGAGGTAATACACATGATGCGACTGTTGGAGCACTTGAGGCAAGTTTGACGGAATGCTGCTCCTCAGTTGTCGTAGCAGGAGTTATTTGATTCAGGGTGAAATATTCCCGAATACACCCTTCATACCGGGCTCGCAATTCATCGTTGCGTTGTAGTTTTCGCTCCAGTGAATGAAAGCGGTTGAGTGCAATTTTTTTGGATTTACCGAGGGTTTGAGATTCATCAAACAAATTTTTCAATGGAAGTCTCACTAAATATTTCCCATTTGGTTGGCGCATATGCGTTTGTTGAAAATGTGTTTCACACCAGTTTTCTTCTTGCGAGAGAGATCTCTCGGTCGGTACTTGATCGATTTCGAAAAAACGTTGTACAAGTGATTCCAGCTCGAGAGTGACATGGTTGCAATGAAGACTAGCAGCATCAACTTTGGGGGTGGAAGTAGTATTGCCAGACAATATCCATCCCAGATGGGTGCGCTGGGCTATTGGTTCATAAAGTCCTCCAATACGTGTTTCTGGCAATAAAAGGTTAGCGAACATGTCGGCACCCAGAAGTAAGTCTATACGACGTGGCTGGTAGTACTTAGGATCTGCTAACTGCAGTCCTCGAATATGAGCCCATTGGTTTGGCTCAATTGTTTGACTTGGCAATTTATTGGTGAGCGCCTTTAAAACAAAGGCGGTATCGACCGCGACATGGTAGTTAGGGTTCACATATGAGTGCATTGTGAAATTCACAGTGTGCTTACAACGATGCGCGACGTTGCTGCCCACCCCAGATATATCTGCCGAAGCACGGTTGCGTGTCAAACAGAGTGTTTGAACGGCATGCTCTGAAATAAGTGTGCATTCAGAGCCTTGATCTAATAGCGCACGTACTACGATGGACTGACCCGTGCCGTCGTTCTTGATCGTGACGAGAGCGGTGGCTAAAAGCACCTTACGAGTCTGCTTCTGCGACGGTTCTGTAAGAAGCTGAGCAGTGTGCGTTAACCTGGATGACGTGGGGTTTTGATGAGTCGTGGTCTGACTCTGAGTGCTTTCAACTTGAAAGGTTTGAGCTGATGGGTTTAAAGCTATTTGAGATTTGCCACCCTCGTGTGATCGAGTGGATTCATTTTGCTGTGGGGGCTTTGACATTGGAAAATGTAGAAGAGTGTGGTGTCTTTGGCTACACTGTAGACAGTTCTTCGTTCTGGTGCAACGGGAAACTGAATGAGCCCTGCTCAGGCAATTTAAACAAAGTTTTGCTTTGTCCGCGATAGACTTTCTCTCAAAGCAGTCTTTGGCGAGGAATTTGGTACAGTGCCGCAGAATGTGTGCTTCGCCACACAGAAAGCATGAATTGACGTTTTTCGGTTGACTAGTGGCGTGAAAACTATTACTATTATGTCTGTATAAAGCCTTTGGAGGTCGACTTTGGCGTTTAGTTGACGAAGTATTATCAGCCACATTGCTGGTCTTTGACAGTGAGTTATTACCACGCGAAATGTTTCTATTTTCAATCACATTGATTGTCACCAGACGCTTATTTAAAAATGCTTCTAACATTTCAAAGGTGGAGATGTTAACGTCACTGCCGAGGTGATATTCCCAAGCTTGATGGGTATCCTTTGGCAACTTTGTTGACAAAAGGTACGCAATCCACTGATTGCCCTGTGAAATAGGTATTTTCAAACGACTGAACTCATTTATACAGACTTTTGCTACATTGAGTAAAGACTTGATGTCGTCTGAGCACTCTTTAGTAACTGCAGATTGTGTGAAGAGCTTGTTCATGTGGTGCATGAATAGTAGACGAGGATTATTATAACGATTTACAATTAAATCCCAGGCAGTTCCATAGTTGGTCTCAGTTAAGGCCATTTGCTGAACATCTACATCGTTTGCTGCTGGCAGTGCCTTCTTTAAAAAGTGAAATTTTTGAATAGCACTTAAGTCGGTGTTGGTGTGGATCAGTCGGACAAATGCATCATGAAACGCCGGCCATTCGATATATTTGCCAGAGAACGATGGCAACGGTAGTTCTGGCATTTCGATTGGTGACATTTTTTTTGGAACTTGCAGTTGAGAACCGGCAGATTGGTCCGAAGATGAAGGCGTTTGTTCGTTGTATGCTTCTAAAAGTGCAACCCGGCTATCGAAATAGCGTTCTTCAAACTCCGAAGCTACCCTGTCAGTAAAATATTGCGATCTCCGACTGGTGTCATGGTGTACAATGGTGGTGTGAGTTTTGTTAAACTCTCCATGTACTGCTTCTATCTTTTCAAGGCGAACCTGGCAGTATACCCTAGTTTTTCTCGTATTTGGGTCCTTTTTAAAATTCTTTAAAATTTGCTTAAGTGTCTCGCATCGCTCTAACTGTAGGGTAAATAATGCATCTAAATCAATAACGGTTCCGGTGTCCGATTCGCTGGTACTTGCTTTGCTCATTTTTCCTATGCTTTTATGTACTAGCCAATATACCTCGCTAACTATTTATGTGACGTTATATGTATAATATATGTACACTCGCTGTCAGCACCAAATAATTAGAAACACCTAGCACACTTACCGTTTTCTGATGTCCGTCGTTGACCAGGTATGGATAAGAGTAACGAAAATAGTAATTGCTGCCGTCTGCCAAACCTTCTACTCTTGCTCTTCTATGCTACGACACCCGCTTTTCCTGATTCTCGGTTTGGGTTTGCTGGGAATCAATGTGCGCCCTTTTGTTCCTTGTTTGATGTCACTAATTTTACACAATGGGCCACCAAATTTATGTGCGGTTCGCAATGTTAAGAGGGGTTCCCTTTTATTTTAAACTCAATAATTCCAGATCAATTGCTTTAAACTGTACGGTATTTTTATTAGAGGAAATGTCTTAAA